CTCCTTCCTTCCTTCTTCGCAGTCCATGCTGTCTCCCTCACCCTCCTCCATTTCTTTTGACTTGTCCTCCTTGCCTCTTGTATGCTCCTGTTGCTGTGCTCTGACTTGCGCATTTTCCAAGAAGGCCAATTCCGCGTTTTTCCCGACCTCATGTAGTTCCTCCATGAGCTTCAGTCTCTGCTCATCATCCTGTATGACCGTATCATCCAACATCGGTTTGACGATAAAACCGGTTTCCTTGTCTTCCATTCTCTTAGCTCCTGTGTGCCTCCATCTGCTATCGTATGGTGGATAGATGTCCGGTTTGACCGTTGGATCCTTCTTGAGCACCCAAACCCACCTTGGATTTTCCAGGTTGTCATCGAATATCCATCCCCTGTATAAGGAGGAATTGATATACCAGACTCCTGGCTTGCTTTCACACTCCTGTAGCATAGATTGTTTCAAAGCCATCCTTTTTCCTTCTGATGTTCCTGATTCGCCTTGTGGACAAGCAGTTCCCAGGTGACCCCTACCCCTGCACATTTGAAACAGAAGGGGTTGGTCTTCGTCGAGATGAAGACTGATTCTCTGGCCACTTTTCTTGAAAATCCATTGGTCCGGGAACTTCGGCGGTGCTCCTGACTTGACTTCCAAGCAAGCCACCCTTGCATCGTGATTTGGTGCTAGAAAATCCGGGTTGGCCGGGAGCCATTCTATGATTGGGTTGCTTGGAAATTCCTCCTGCAGTCTCCTTTGCACGAAGTTGTGCATTCCTTCCGATAGGTTGTCAAACTGAACCCAGTAGTGGTTCTTCAGCATTGATTGCCTGTGTCTCGATGCTTCGGCTTGGGGCGGTCTAGGTGGCTTCCAGGGTTGGATTGTGACTACTGCCCCCTTGCATTTCAATAAGCCTATCGACAGCAGGTACTGGGCATAGGTAGGATCCACACAGACGATCATCACGACAAACCTACCCCTCCTGTGGAATGACACCTCTGGTTCCTTCCCGGGCACGTCCTCCATAGCTAGTAGTCTGTCCCWCACCCACCTTCTYTTCTCATTTAAAGAAAGCTCCCTGCTTCTTCCGGAGAAGTTGAAAAGGACTGCGTGCTTCTCGTACAGCTCATTCAGAGATTGGATGTCCTCTTCAGGATATTCCCAAACGTCTACTTCCTCTTCCTTCCCACCCTCTC